AAGGCATGCTGCCTATGCACGCACCACTCCAGGTTTTTTTTCTGTGGGTTTTTTTGACCCCTGGATATCCAGGGGTTGAAAAAAGAAGTGGAGTAGTATACATGCAGGCAGTGCATGCCGCTGAAAAGCAGAGCCAAGCCACCCAAAGCCACACTGCGGCTGTCAGCCAGGCGCCGCCCAGCAGGACCACTGTTGCTGCAGCCCTGGGAGGCCCCCAGGTCCCCAGGTAAGGCTGCTGGGGCCAGCCCACCGCTGGCAGCAGCATCTTCTACTGCCCCTGGGGTAATTTGCCGCGTGCCAAAGCATGAGTGGCATGGGTGTTCCCTGGGAACAAGTAGCTGCGGTGCAAGGTATGCAACTGCTGCTTGTCCCCGGGAAACCAAACATCTGTGCTTATGTGGACGCAGCCATAGAGGTTATTTACCTGTAGCTGCTGGGAATGATTGAAGTATGACTGACTATAGGACTAATAAAAACACACAGCCTGTAGGTATTAAAAGTGTACAACTTTATATTAGAGGAAACTATATTGCAACAAGAAATGTGCTAGAAAAATTAGGTAGGTATCTTTGCTCAGGCTTCCAGTTATTACATCTCTACTGCTTGCTTTTATCATGATGCTATGAATGTCAATAGCACCCTGGGAAATGGTGGGATTTTTCACCAGTCAACATTGGTTAGAGTCTGTTCCCATTCATATTTTTACCACTAACTTAAACAGGAACATAGTTAAAACAATGATTTTTGGTTTTTGGAAATACCACACCCAGAACAAGTTTTAAATTAATATGTATATAAAGACCTGATAGCCTGGGCATACAAGATGACAATGCATTTTTATCATAGTCTAAAGAAAAAAAATCTCTCCCTCCAGCAAAAGAATGTTAACTATGCTTGGAGCCAACTGGCCTTAAAAGGAGTTGATAAAAAAAAAGAATAAGACACTTGAAAACATTGTAGTGACAAAAGTTCTCTGATACCTAGATATTATTCTTTATTAAGTACGAGAAAGATCACTCATTCTTTAAATTTGGCATGTTTTGTAGATCTTATTGAGACATCAAAATTAAGCCAAGTCTTAACACTGTACTGTATTGAAAAATTATTGTACATAAGTTGTGTAAAAATACCACTGCATTTAAGAGTATTTGAATAATAATTTATAATAACTTATATGTTTTCCATAACCAAGGTACACTTACAGGATGGGTGAGCCCCAGAGTATCTCATGACGTTGACTAATCTTTGATAACTTGCTGTGTTTTTAACAAATGTGAATATAGTTAAACTACAGGCTTAAAAGAGGATCAAACAGAAGAATGCAACAAACTCAGGAAGTTCAAACCTCTGGACACACAGACAGCTCCACTGTTACCCTTAGCACTGAACTCAGGAATAAGATAAAATATAAATCTTCAGAGACAGAACTACTTCAGCCTCCTAGCCAGAAGCTTCTGCAATGTGAACAAAAGGCAAATGTACACATCAGCAATCAAGAGGTAAGACAGCTATAGATAATATATTTTCTAGTAAATCATTTACTTTCATGTAACATGAATTTCACACCAAGCATAGACAAGTACTAAGTTTGACCTGAGAACTCCAGTGTCTAGATTTTAATTAAAATGGTAATTTTTGGATCAAGGAATAAAAGTGAGTTGGGGGATGGGGGCGGGGGAGGTTGGTTTCAGGAGCTTTTGGAAAGTGGGGAGGATCATAGGTAGGATTTCCATAAACAGCAATAACCCTGCTCCAGTTGTAGTCAGTGGTAAAATTCCCATCAACTTTAATGGTAGTGTTAGAATGATACGGTAGCTGTGATGGTCCAGGAATTATGCAAGGAGCAAGAACTTTTTTGGGGTGATATGTTTTACTGGACCATCTGCATAGATAAAGTTAGAGACGATTTTGAGTGCCTTGTATGCATTGTGTTAAATGATTCTCAACTAGGGTCCTGTGCCACCCTGGGGTGCCTTGAGATTCTTTCAAAGGGTGCCATGGGGTGCCATGCAGTATTATTGTTGCCTGTACAAAAATGATCCTCAAGATAAACCCAGAGATTTTACATAGGAATTCATCGTGTTAGAAGCATTCTGACCTGTTGTGTGTTTTTGAGTTCCTTGCAACAGAAGATTTGCTCTGTTATTTTTCTGTAGTCAAAAACTGAGGGAAAACTAAGATCTAGCATTTTTCAAGAGGTGCTTTGGGCCCAAGACAGGGTGCCTTGAGAGTAAAACATTTGAGAACCACTGATCTATGGTGTCACTGAAGTCAGTAAGGTTACCAGATATTAATTTGACTGTTGAAAATACTTAAAACATATGCAGTGGCATTAGTCTCTTTCTGGTCTCTTCCGGTGCGTAGTACCATACAAAGGAGCCCCTTATGGAAAACAAGTCTATATTGTTCTTTTGATCAGTTCGATCTTGAGGATCAGTCAGGACCTGCATGTGAAATATCCTTCTTCCCTGCCCCTCACTCAGAGAAAACATACAATTGAATAGTCCTTTTCCTTTGTCTTTTCTACTGTATTTCTGTTGTTTGACTTAATGTCAGTCACACACTGCCCCCCATCTGGTTAGTTTTCAGAACAACAGCATGAGCATCTTCTGATTAATGCAATATGTGAATGGAACATTATCCTGTTTCCAGACAGTTCTGAAGTAGTCATAGTACCATAGTGTCTCTGGCATTGATACTCAGAAGTGCTGAGCACCAGAGGTGTAACTAGGCGCCACTGGCGCAACCACCCCAGGCATCAACTTGGATGGGGGAGACAAAAAACAGCTGCTACCTGCCACTGCACAATCATGCCAGCAATACAACAGCAATTGAAAGTCACTGTTGCCCTGTATCCTGGATGCCCAGCCAGGGTGCTGCACCACTGCTGAGTACCCACATGCCCACTTGAAATTAGTAGGATCTGCAGGCACAGAACAGCTTTGAAATCCATGTGTGCTTTTTTTCTGGCAGTATAAGGAGGCCCTCCCAGAGCTCATGAGGTATATAGCCCTGGCCAGAATTTGCTATGGAGATCATCACTGGAAAATGGCAGAAGCCCATGTTAATTTGGCTCAGGGATACCTCCAGCTCCAAGGTGAGTTTACAGAGTTCATAGATTCATAGATGTTAGGGTTGGAAGGGACCTCAATAGATCATCGAGTCCGACCCCTAATGTTCCCTGCACATTTTTTTAGGCCCAGATCCTATAGTCTTCTCACACAACTCCCAAGATTGCATGATTTGGCTTTTAGCTTTATAGGGTTTTTTGTTGGGTTTTTTTTGCCAAAAGGATGTTTTTAGCCTTAGTAAATTAGAACTAAAACAATTTTAATAAGGAATAAAAGGGCAAATGTATAAAAAATGCACTGAATTTCTAGTTAATGCTAGTCCTTCATTTTTTTTCTTCTGGTATCCTCCAAAATTGGTCTCTCATATAATGTCCATAGCAGCAACACAGCTGAAAAGGAGAAAGGGTCTGAAGTTTCAGAATTTGTCTCAGTAAGACACAGTCAGTTGTAAAGAAATCTCAGAAATGATGACAGTGTTTTTAGTCTCTCAAAATGAGGATAAGGAGAAAAAATAGTTTGGTAGTGGGAATTTTCTGAGACTAAGTCTGGGGCATCTGTGAAAATGGTAATTGTTCAGGTGTGTACAGAGCAATCCTGAACTGGCTTTTTCTTTCTGGAAAATGCTTTTGAACACATGGGGTCAAACCAATTTGCTCTAAAACTACCATAAATCCTAGTAATTTTTCATTTATACATTAACAATTTCTAAGCCATTTTGCAAGCATGTGACTATCTACTTCCTATCATGCATTTGTAATGTACGGTGAATATTAGCAAGCTATTAGTTCTTAGGTTCAGCCCATCTTGCATCCCCAGGAAGCTTGAGAAATACTCTCACTTTCAGTTAGATATAGAAGTCTTGGGAGAGGATTTGGGATCATGGGATTTGCGGGATCATATTTGCTGTCTGTATTCCTTAAAGACAGTAATCCTTGCCATGTCTTTGTTTTTTCATTGCATTTTTTCTAAATATTAATTGGATAATAAACTTCACATTACAAGTTAATCAGTTAATAAGACTTATGTTTTAAGCACACATGCCGTGTTTAAGCACACTTAAAGCCTTTATATACGTGGCCCAACACTCTACCATAATGGATATATAATACTGGCGTGTAATATTGATGACAGTTTGGTCAGACCAGTGACTGAATGGGAGACCTTAAGGAATGCTCAGGGCACATCCACACCACAGCCTGTAATATAGTGATGAGATAAACAAGGTAGCTCTAAAAGAATCAGAAAAAAATATAGCTGTAACAGTACAGATCTTAATGCAGACTAATTAAGCCTGCTTCTCAAACTAATTTACACATTTTGGTATCATTTTTAGTTAAATGTGTAACGGGGTTTTTAATAAATAAGAAACAATGGTATATTTTTGGACCAGGATGTATGCATTATTTTAAATTCATCTCAGTTCTCTAATTCCCTCACGCATTGTTTCTTTTATTTTTAAGAAGAAATATTCCTTACAATAGAACTGTTCTGTAGCAATTTTGAGAGGAGACAAAATGGAGAGTACTTTGATTTTTACAGCCATAAATCTTGCTTTTCAGGTAAACCAAATGTAATCCTTTGCTACTTAAACCCAGTGGCTCAGCTGGGCCTTTTGCTGAAGAATATGAATGTATATTGTAGAATATATTAAACCAAGCCTTCACACCTGAAAAAGAAAGATCGTCTTCCTCAGTATGCATATGGAAGTAGTTGTGCTTTCTTCATGTGAATCTAAAAGCTGAATCCCCCACTGAAGATTTTGCTTTCTTTATGTATGTTCACAGGATTTTCACTGCAAGCAAAACAGCATGCAGAAAAAGCCAAAGAAATTCTTCTCGCCAGCTCTCTTATCCCTTCATCTGAGTCTGAACAAAGGATGGACATTCTTCAGTGTTCAGTTGCTATTTCTCATACATTAGGAAGAGCATTAACTGCAATTCACAAGTATCCTTTCTCACTTTTGTTTTACTATGTGCAATTGGTATTAGAAGTTTTTCAGATAAATGGATTGGATTGTGGTGAATTGATACAACCCATGTGACAAGCATGCAGTGTGGTCTACTAATCTAGATGAAACCTCATCACACTCCAAAAATGTCTTCCATAATCATCTTATCATACTAATAACCATGGCCGACTGGTGCTTCCCGAGTCTGGGGAGGCACCAGATTGCCGATTGGGGGAGGGAGACGGCAGGGTGGAAGTCCCGCAGTGGCTGATTGCCAAGCCCAGAACCATGAGCAGCAGAATCAGAAGTGCACTTCTGCCGGCGCTTCTGATTTTGCGGCTGGTGCTTCCAGGGGGTTCACGGCCGATCTCAGGAGGTGCACACACACCCGCATGCACCCCCTGCACATTGCCAATGCTAATAACAGTATTCCTTAGTGTGACCTTAGTGTTCCTTGGTTTTGCCAGCTAGACCTTAGTCACCAGGAAATGGCCTGCATCATTACCATTGGAGGAGGTTACAGTATGTCTGTTAACCTTTATCACCTCACACGCATCATGATAAACATCTGACAAATTTAAAAGGTGCATTAAAAAGCAAAATACAAACAGGATATATAAACAGCAGGCAACATAGTCCACAAACTGAAGTGTTCAGTCTATACAAGATGCTTTACTGTGCATTAGAGGAATGTAATGCATAGTACAGTGTCACCGTCTACATATATGTGGGACTTACTGGGCACGTCTACACAAGATGCTTACTTCACATTAGCCTAATAACACTGCGCAGTAGTGTGGCAGGCAAAAACTATGCTAATAGCTTATTGCACAGTTATTAGGCTAATGAACAGTAAGTGTCACTAAAAAAACTGCACCAGCACTACTGTGCAGTAACTAGTTACTGCTCTTTTAGTTAGTACTTTATTAAGGAAATACTAAGCTAAATATGCAGTATCTAAGGCATATTAATGAACATGTAGACATGCCCAGTGTGCAGTAAATTAGATTAATGTGCCATTTCCTAGCATCAGGATATACAGGTGCTAGATTAATAGTGCATTACCTACTGTACAGTAGCATACATGTGGATGCTGACTGAGAGCAATTTGCTCCCAGTCAGCAGGGTGCCAGCTGCTGCCTGGCTAAACCCTGATGTGGGGGGGAACTGTGCCAGCTACAGGGGCAGCTGTCTCCCCGCTTTGTGGGGGATCGGGACCCGTCCCAATCCCCACATGTCTGGGAGAACTGTCCTAGCAACTGAGACTGCTGCATCCCAGCCACGGGGAAATCAGGTTGGGACTCAGTCTCCATGTGGCTGAAAGAGCTGTCCCTCCTCGGTAGGCATGCTGCTTGCCAGCCACATGGCGATCCCCACATGGCTGGCAGGCTGTGTCCCCACTGAGTGGGGACAGCTTTCCTGGCCATGTGAGGATCAGGATTGGGACTGGCCCCTGTCCCCACTGCCAGTCCTGGGGCTGGCACCCAGGGGAGCTTGGCACTCCCCCTGGCTGCTGCAGGGGGGCAGAGCAGGGCAGGAACAGCCCTGGACTGGGCTGCCTTCTCTCAGGGGCAATTTGCTCCAGATGGGGGCGCATGTGTAACACTTTAATGAGCCTGAAAGCACTTCCACTAAAGTAAAGGATTGTGAAGGTTGCATGATTCCTTGGAGATTCACTGACAACATAGCTCAAGTGTTGGATTTGTTGTCCTCATGCTTGTCATCCTATCTTCTGCCTTTTTCACTGTTGTAAGCCTGTATGGTATAGAAAGGAAAAGAACAGGAGAATGATAGAACATCTGTACATGTTTATGGTCATGAACATACGTGCATCTACCCCGACAATAACTCGTCGCTGTGTATATTCATTATGATTGCTGCAAGGTGGGCTTTCTATTCATTATATAACTGGAAGTACTTTTTAGACATTAATTAAAACTCATAACACCCTTGTTAGGTAGAACAGCCAATCTAATGGAGGGACAAACTAAGACAAAAATTTGTTCAGATAATTTTTAAAGGTCACACATAGTTGCATGGCAATGAAAGTAATATGAATGATGAGGGACAGCATCTGACTATATATTTAACATGAATGTACTCTTACTTTAAAGGAGCTGACAGCTGTATCCCTTTGGCAGATATTGTAAAAAAAAAAAAGTTTTTAAAGGGGTTAAATTCTAGGTCTTTCAAGTGCTGAGTTGTTTTTAGTTTGTGTGGATGTCTCAATATTTTACAATACTTTAATGCATTTTATTTTTCAACACAAACATTTGTTGTGCTCTCGAAATTCTTAGCTTGCAGCATCTCCTGTTGTATAAACAAAATCATGAGGGTGGTCTGTATGTTTTTCCTAACCTGTCAAAGTATGCCAGTTGTTTTAATAAACTACACAAAATTAATGCAATTGTCCTCAGCACAAAACAGATTAAAAGATGCAGAGAGAAGTTTAATAAAAGCTCAGAAACTTTCAGAAGAATTGCTACAAGGCCAGCACATGCCACCAGACAAGTGGATGGAAATCAAAGCAGAAATTGAGTTGTCATTTGCACAGTAAGTTTGGATTCCAGATAGTATTTAAGAAACGTAAAAATAATCTAGTTTAAATCTAATCGATTTAAATTAAAAAGAATAGAATCAATATACACGTTTATCACAAAGTACCAGAGGCTGCCATAGTAACAGAGAATTTGAAAGAGGTTTTATAACTTTATTCTTTTCTGCATTCAATAAATGGAAGTTCTACAACCAATAATTTTATAATTTCATTTTCACTTTCAAGGCAAAGGTGAATGCGTTCAATTCCCTTCAGAGACCATCCGTACTGCTTCTTAATTGTAAGAAGCGTCTTTATAAAATGAGGTAAACTACTCCCATTCCTTGCCAAAGCAGAGTTAAATTGCCTTCTCATATCCTGCTGTTCTCTCTCACCTGAGAACTTCTTTTTAATGGTTCTATGGTGTCCCATTGAGCCACAGCAGCTGTTTATGGTGTTCTCTGAGCATTTGGTGCTGTGTGTACTTCCGAACTTGAAGCAGTGACTCAGCTATGCATGTTCATTGGCTAGAGGCCCTGCAGCCATCATGACCTTTATCGGGAGTCCTGTTCCATCTGTTGTTTTGG